ACTATAGAAAGAAGAACTCAGCATAGACATACCTGCAGGATGCAGACAGGACAAACTTGCTTAGATTTAAGGTCATGGAGAATTTACAAACATGACAGCCTTCAGCGTGGCTTACATTTCAATGCAAAGAAAATAAAGATCCTCACATATGTACCACTAAATAGCATCATGATAAATGGAGAAAAGACTGAAGTAGTCAAGGATTTCATTTTACTTAGATCTATAATCAACACTCATGGAAAAGCAACAGGGAAGAGATAAAGTTATGTACTGCGTTGGGTCAGTCTGATGCAAAAGACCTTTTCAAAGGGCTAAAGAACAAAGAGGTCACTTTAAAGACTAAGGTTTGCCCATCCCAAGTCACGGCATTTTCAATGAATAAGGAAGATTGGAGAAGAGCTCGTGAATTTGAGCTATGGCTGGCAGCCAATATTGAAATTACTATGGACGTACAGAACAAACAAATAGGTCTTTGAAGGAGTACAGACAGAATGCTTGGTAAAGAAGAGGGTCAGCCAAGGAGAGGAAGACCCTCAATGTGATGGAGTGACACAGAGGCTGGCTGCAACAATAGTGTGGCAGTCACCTAATCTGGTGTCAATTTAAGGATTAAGAGTGTAGGGGTGGTGTTCAGGCTGTCAATCTGGAGACAGCCAATGAGACTTCTGTGTGGGCATGGCCTTCTGAGAATTCTGCGAAATCTTCCTCCTTGGAAGCGGAAGACACCTCTCTCTCTGTCACTCCCTGGGAGATATTGCAGAAGACCAGCCACATGGACGCAACCAGACCTCTGAAGCTAGAGAAGCCACAGAGACCCCTGCCAGCACTGAGATGCTTACAACACCACTGGACCCAAAGACTTTCTACCCTCTGGCTTGTGATCGTCCTGCATTTGGCTTCATGGAATGTGTTTCGTGAGTCTGAAGAGGACTTTATAGATTGGTATTGGACATATGGGCTAATACCAGACTTGTGGCCTTGGACTGGACTGGACTGGGCTGGGATGTTTTCTCAATGTCAATTGCTCTTGTATGTAAACCTCTTCCTTATATACATATGTGTGTCCATGAATTTGTTTCTCTAGTCTACCCAGACTAACACATTGCTATTATTCGACCATGGGAATGATTGTGAGCAGGGGACAGGATTGGTGGGTGTTTCATTTTGTTGTACGTGGGGCACTATGAGCTGGAAGCCACCGGATGGCATCTAGCAAAAACGACATCAGCAGGAAGCTAAACGGTAGGGTGGAAAAGCCTATCAGTGACTGCGTAGCTTTCTCTTTGGACTCTGTGTGCTACGGCACATTGGGAAAAGGGTGTAAAATAGTTATGATATCATTCTCAGACTTTGTCTTCTCCAAGGAATTTGATGGAAAGGGCCTGGAGACATCTCTGTCCCAAGAGGAGAAATAAGTCAGGTTAATGGATCGCTAGAGATAATATTCCCGTGTGATCTTCAGAGTCACCCTCCCTCCCAAATATTTCAGTCCCCTGATTCCTATAAGTAAACTCCAAGCAATGTCTTTGGGGAATGCATTTCCCCCCCTCCCCCCAAAGCATACAGCACTGTAATTGTCATCTGGACTCATGGCTTCCAGAAGGGGTCCAGGATGTGCCCTCAGGGATCAACTCCCTGATGCCATATATTTAGTGTTTTCAGTTTTCCTCACCTGACACCACTGGTCCTCTAGGCTAGAGGGATGTTTCATTTGTCATCAGTGGCGATTCTCTTCCCTCATGAGTAGCTCATGTCAGACAAAGTTTGTCCTGATTCCCACCCATGTGATTGGAAACAGTTATTGCAGTCAGCTGGACCTTATTCCCGAAGCAGCAGGGCTAGGGTCCAATTCAGTCTATTACGTGAGCAAGGACGTGGAAAGCTCAGAGGAAAGTGTTTTGAGTGATCTAAAACATCAGGAAATCTCAAACAATTTTTCTGTGAACCCTGGACACATCAATGATTCAGCTGATTTTATATTTATCTTCTTAACCAGGTAATATTAATGGAAATATCCATTGTTGAAGCTCTCACTGTCATCTTGGGATAGAGAGGTAGCTCAGAGGTATTTCTAGAGCCAGATGAAGCACATGTATGATCAAAAAGTAGAGTTAATGGCGTTAACTAGGAGAGAACCAGTAAAGTTAAAGTCCAGTCACTTAATGTGCCTTGCTGTGTGCTGATGGAATTCAAAATCGAAGTACAGATTGAAAGGGCATTGCAGAATCACAGTTGCTGCTGGAAGCAAGGATAATTGGGTCACTGATAAGACAACTGTACCATCCTCCAGTAAATGGAGATTTCTAGGGTTAAAGAATGTTTTATGAGCATCTCTGATCAGTAGCCAGGGTGGACCCATCCTGCCCACTACATTTCACTTCTCTACTTGTTCTGCTCACAAGTTTCTGAAGAGGAAGTTACAGGTAAACGATGTGATGGCTGAGGTGTCCTGGAAACCTTTATTAGAACCTAGGGCATCCTCTAGTATTTTCAAGTTCTATTCTTAGCCATTAGGTCAGTCCATGAGGAAAACAAAAAAGTGGTAAAAAGGTCAGCAACTGTGTGCAACAAATAAGCATTAAAATTATCAGGAACATCTCTTAAGGGAAGGATAGAGTTATGAGGCTGATGATAGAAGACTTGCATTCTGGAGGTTTGCAGAGAAAGATGGACACAAACGAGGAAAGAAGGACGTAGGTGGATATTGTCTTTAAGTAAAAGTGCCCCATGTCTTGACTGATTCAAGAGAGTATGTGAAAAATTGGTCTTTTAGTCCACAAGAAACTGAGTTTTAATTAAATGTGTGAGGTGACTGTCAAAAAGATGTGGTTAAAGGCTGTCTTAGGAGAGAAATGTGAGTGAGAAGGAAGGGATGGAGGGAGGAAAGAAGGGGGACAGAGAGAAATTGTTTCATACCTGGCTAAATTAGACTTTGGAAATGCATTTGGTTCAGAATACTTTGTTTTGTTTTTTATAAATCATTTTATTGGGGGCTCGTACAGCTCTTATCACAATCCATACATCCATCCATTGTGTCAAGCACATTTGTA